AATCTTGGCATTATGAGACCATCTTGAAAGACAGCAGTTAAAGAGTTTTCTGCAATTTAAACCTCTGTGACTGTATCTTTAAATAAAGCCTTTATTGGAGATAAAGCTTCTTACTCTTTAAAAGTCCCTCAGTATAGTGGGGGTGCAAAGCTTGGGGTACAAAGGAAGAGTTTGGGCTGCAGAGGGTGGCGCTGTCACCAAATCTAGTTTCCTGTTGCTGTTGGAGGCAGTAAGGTAAAGGTAAAGGGACCTCTGACCATTAGGTCCAGTCATGGCCGACTCGGGTTGCGGCGCTCATCTCGCTTTATTGGCCAAGGGAGCCGGCGTACAGCTTCCGGGTCATGTGGCCAGCATGACTAAGCTGCTTCTGGCGAACCAGAGCAGCACATGGAAATGCCGTTTACCTTCCCACTGGAGCGGTACCTATTTATCTACTTGCACTTCGAATGTGCTTTCGAACTGCTAGGTTGGCAGGAGCAGGGACCAAACAGAGGGAGCTCACCCCGTCACGGGGATTCGAACCGCCGATCTTCTGATAGGCAAGCCCTAGGCTCTGTGGTTTAACCCACAGCGCCATCCGCGTCCCTTGTTGGAGGAAGTACAGAGCTAGATAAACCAACAGTGTGACTTGATGTAAGACGGCTTCCTATGCTTCCATGTATTACATGCATATTGTACAGCATTTCCACACTTGTTGTGATGACAGATTTTAAATCTAAACAAGACCTCTGTGGTGCTAGGACATGGCTGCACCAGTGTCCCTTGTCAAATCTTTTTATTTCAGTTTGCACCACATGGTCTTGATCCCCAGAGAGAGTCCAGTCAAAAGAGCTGACCTTCTGAATAACAGGTGACAGAAATTCAATGCATCCCTTTTTTTTAAACACAGCAAGAATATATTAATTTCAACTGGATGGTGTCCAGTTCTACTTTAAAGACATCTAATAGTGGAGGGTCTGTTACATCAAGAAAATGTGCTGTTAATTCCCATCTTTGCCAAAAGCAGACTTAATGTCTCAATTGAAGGACTCTTGCTTCATCTTCCCCCCAAGAGCATAAGAGCCCCATTAATCCTGCCAAAGACCCATCTAGTCCAGAATCCTGTTCTCACAATGGCCAACCAGATGCCTGTCAGGAAGCCTGTAAGTACAACACGAGCCCAACAGCTCCCTCCCCATGTGTGACCTGCAACAACCAGTACTGAGGCATACTGCCTTTGACAGCCATCATTATCTCGTTAGGTTTTATCCTGTTGGATATAATATACTCTTACATCAAGACCAGAACTTCTAGCAGAAACAATGTCACCTTGCATTACAGTTTAATGGGTACAAAATAAGAAAGCTAGAGATTAATGTTTTCCCTCTGCTTATAAACAGGATTCAAATTTTTGCAAGCTTTGATGGATTTTGGGTTTTATGTGAACTGCTGGAAAGTATTGCCTTGGTGTGTTTTGCCTCATGTGACAGGACTTCTTTTACTAGCAATAAGGAAGATGTAGGTTTCCCCATTTTGCAATGGAGCAGGAAGAGGCATTTAAATCTGGGAGTCATTCCAGATGACAATAAAATCCAGATTTTGCTTTCAGTGTTAAAGCAGCGCAAGTAGAATCTGCAATACTCCATCTTTGGTTTATACCAGTTTTCTTGGTGGTGGTGGTGGAAACGTCCAGTCCAACTGGGTGCTTCTGCCTCCACCTCTTTTTATATTATTATCAGGAAATGTGCATGCTCAAGTGCTACAAAGGAAGGACACCCTTGTTTTTAAAAGACTGCATATGTGCTTCAGTTTGAGTGGTGCAGTGATGGAGTGTTCAGGCAGACATTTCAAAGGCACAAACCACTGTCAATATGGAGCATGGGGAGAGCTTGCATCACTCATGGTGACGGCATCACAGGTGATAAGCCATCAAGACCAGGCTTCTTCAACCTCGGCCCTCCAAATGTTTTTTGGCCTACAACTCCCATGATCCCTAGCTAGCAGGACCAGTGGTTGGGGATGATGGGAATTGTAGTCTCAAAACATCTGGAGGGTTGAGGTTGAGGAAGCCTGATCAAGACCTTTTGATATGCTTATAACGATCATTTGCACAGCAGTCAGTCTCATAGAACAGGTACTTACTGTATGTTTGTATGTGAAAAATAGCTTGTCAGCAGTTACATATTGTGCTCTGAGCATTGCGACATGGTTAGTTCTGCCCCATTTTGGCAGCGTTTATATGATCTTCCTGAAATTTCTGCCCAGGGTTCAGTGGTCACATTAGCTAACAAAATTACTCTGGGAAATTCTCCCTCTGTTGTGTGTGACTTGTTCTCTATCCAGAAAACCACAGCTTCTCAAGATGGTTGAAAGGTCTCTGAGTTGCAAACTGGCAACCCCATGGGCATGGTTTTCAGACTTTCTTTCCATGTCAACTAATATGTCAAGGAACTCCTGCATCCTGTAGCGAATGTGGGGACATTATCTTTAGAGCACATGCACAGTCCATGTGGGGTATCAGCCAGGCCAGTTAACCTTCAGCAATGTCCCACGTGAATTGAGAATGCAAAAGGCTTTGCAAGCACCAAGCACCAGCTGATAGGCGGTGCTTGTCAATCCTACTTTCCGTGGGCAGTCACCTATTTATCTGCTCTATACCTGGCATCATACTTTTGACTCAGCATAGCAAAAAACATAATCAAGCTTTAGGAATGCATTCACCTTGAAAGATGAGGTCTTCTGTAATCTTAAGAAACTGTATAGGCAAAAGCCTGGTTCAAAAAACAGGTTTCGTTAAGAATACATGGCAAACTGGGGCCACAATGTTTGGATTTTTCCTAAGCAACAATGCACCTAAATCAATATTTGTCATGTCTTCATATGATAATCCTTTAAATGTCTTGAGGCAGCAGGGAGACTATCCAGCTGGTTGGCTCCCTGCCCCATAGCCCTCCCTCAGATCCCTTTGCCCACCTTCTCTTTCTCATCTGTTGTGGGGAACACAAACTGAACTCCTGTTTGCTGCAGAAGGCAGGGCAGCAGAGAGAAGGTGAAGGGGACCAGTAGGAGAAACAGGGCTTTAATGCATGGAGGCTGCAGGGTCTCTTGCTTCCTTAAGGCAAACCCAAATGGTGCAACAAGAAAACTCCGTTTCTGCTTATTGAAAGCTCTCCCAGCCCTCTTTTCTCTGCTGAGCAACCCTTCCTCAGGTGGTGTGATGGCCTGGGATTCAGACTCGGATGCTGAACCTGAGGGATCCCAGCCTGCACAGGATTCCCCGCCTCCAGAACCAGCTGAGCCGGGGCTGGGGCATGAGCCTGAAGGGTTCTCACCTGTGCTGGATCGTCAGGTGCGGGCATCAACTGAGTCTGCTCCGGCTCCTGAGGTGATGGAGGACCCATTGCCTGCAGGTGCTCCACTCTCAGCCCCGTCAGAGGAAGGTGAGGTTGCCTCCGGGTCCACTAACCCTCCAGCCTCTCCTGAGCTGCAGAGGCTCAGGGCAGAGAGGCGGAGGGAACTAAATTCCCACAGGAGGAGTGCTAGCCTCCAGGCCAGGAGAGGCGAGTCACCAGAGGATCAGGGCCACCCTATGCCTCGGGGCAGATAAAAGCCGGCTAGCCCCAGTCCCAAGTTGTGGGAGCAACATTGTTGGTTGCTAGTTCCTGCCTGAGCTCCTGACCCGCCCTGACTCCCTGCTTGCATGCCTGTTCCTGACTTCACCCGACTCCCTGCCCTGCACCCAGCTTCAGCTACTACGGACTGCCTCCATGTTGCATCTTTGACCACGGACCGGACTTGGACCTCGCCTCTTGGGTAACCCACGGGACCAGCACAGGTGGTTAACTCTTCCCTCCACTGCAATTCTAATGATGATTGACCCCCATGCTGCTTTCGAGTTTTCCCCTAAGCTCAATAGCAGCATGGCAGGAGGGGCAATTTACATCAGGATTGTGGGAGGCAGGATTTAAAACTTTCCTCTCCCTGCAATTTCACTTGTGTTGTGCAGTTGAGTGGAAAACAGCTGAGAGGGATAAAAAAGAAGATGAAATGCAAAAAAAGGCTTTTCTGGAGCCCTACACCCCATCAGCTGATCTGGGAAGGGTATGTTGTGGGTCATGTAAGATTAAGCTGTGATTGACAAGCAGTCAGTGCCTTCACATTGCTAGCTTCTGAACTAGAGATAGAAAAAAGGCATGTTTCTTGGAGACGATGCATAATGATAAGAGAATGTGCACACTGCCCAGAGAATGTACAATATGCAACCTGAATATTCAGAATCGTGATGAAGTTCTTTCTCAGGTCCTTGTATCTTTCTGATTCCTCACCCCAAGCCCTCCTCTTCATCGGCTTCTCGGACCATGTGCAATCAATCTCCAAACCTGTTGGGTAGCATTGAATGATCAACTAGCAGTCTATCCCTGAGCATCTTAGCCTAAACAAAGTCTCACACAGTTCATGAAGTTCACTGGGGCTTGCTTCCAAGAGATTGTGCTGCCTGAACTCATAGAACTGTCCATAAGAGTTGTCCTCCACATTTTCTCGTTTGGATACTTTATTTGCTTTGACGGTCCCCCCATATTGCCATATTAATTTGAATCATTCTTGTGCTGTGCCTTTTTCTTTTGGTTTCCAATTTCATGCAACGGGACTTCTCAGCAGGAATGTATAGGATTGTGCAGCGTGTTCTTGCACCAGGGCTGGGGACCAGGTATGGCTGGACTTTACCTCCCTTCATCCCTGACCATTGCCCCATTGCTGGGGCTGATGGGAGCTGGAGTTCAGCAAAATCCGAAAAGCCACGGAGTTTCCCATCGCTGCCTTGCACAATTCTTTCTCGTGCCTCCCAAGCCACATTCCGGCTTCAGAAAAGCCTCTTGGTCTGTATACATTACTCATAGTTAAGCTGAGAGAAGGAATGAGTAATAATGCCAGGTATTTCCTGAACTACGCACCATCCCCTTCTGGTTAGGGCCTCCCCCTTCCTTTTGAAAATAAGAAAGATAACTAGCCACTTGTGGATTGGTGCTTGTTCACAGCAATCTTAACAGAGAAGAGGCTGAGCACGCCAGCGGCTTATTTTATTGGATGCCAAGCTGCGTAATTTAACTCAAGCTTATGGAAGGTGACAGGAAAGAGTTAATATCCTGAGGCGCTGAGGAGTGTTCAGGTGTGACTGTTCTTTCGTATCTGGACTGCGTGCAGCTACAGTGCAAACACCTTAGAAGGCAGCAGCTGTCGGAGTTGGAGAAGCAGCTCTGTTCAGGAGATATTATAAAATGGCTGACTCTGAATCCAGCTGTCCCAAAGAACTGCCACGGGAACTGATACCTGAAGACTCCATCCATGCGGCAAATGGATCACAGATCTGCGAGGAAGAGTGTGAGAGCGTAGGGTTGAAAAAGGAAGCAGACCCTCTGTCATCGGATCCAGAAAGAGGACACACTCCCAGCAATGGAGTAGGCCTGGGAGAGAATGTGACTGAAAATGGACCCAAAGAGGAGCCACCAGGCAAGATTGGGGAAGGGGATGCGGTAGAGGGAGAAGAGGTCCTCTGTGACTTCTGCTTGGCTGAGAAGGTGCTGGCGGTGAAGTCCTGCTTGACCTGCATGGTGAACTATTGCCAGGATCACTTGAAGCCTCACTTGGAGAACGCCAAACTCCAGACCCATAAGCTTATGGATCCAATGAAGGACATTGACATGCAGAGCTGCGAAGTCCACAAGAGGCACCTCAGTTGGTTCTGCCATACTGACCTTGCGTGTGTCTGTGAGGAGTGCCTTGCAGATGGACACCAGGGACATAAGGCTGTCACCTGTGGGGTAGCCAGGAAAGAAAAGGAGGTAAATTGTAGCTTTCTGAGCGCTGTCAGTGTTCAGGGGGAATGTCATGGGATACTGGCTTGCTAGGAAATATGGGGCCTAGAGTTCTCATTCATACGCACACAGCCTTTTTACATGTGCATGGCTGGCCCAGAGTGCTGCTGGAGGGATTCCTGCTTGATATCATGTTAAGATTGTTTAGAATAGCAAACTTACTAGAGAACAGGCTTCACTGAATGCAGCTGAGCTTGCTGCTGAGTAAACATGCTAGGGTTTTGCTGCAAATGTCGGATGCCTGGGGTTTCATGGTTATGTAGCTTGACATATTATGAAACCCAGGAGGCCATCCCACAGAAGGGATCACAGTTCAGGGGAAATCTGACAAAAGTTGGATGGACAAAAATGGGGTGTGCCTGCTTTCTGTTAGAAAAGGGTGGTATTGCCAAGTGTTATCTACACTCAGGGCCTGCTTGCAATTATCCCAAGCCCAGGGCAACTGGGGAGTTTGCTATATTACTAAGGACTGAACTGGTTGTGTCACCACTGGCAGCACATGCAGAATTTGGCACAGATCAGCTTTTGGCCCTTGGATGCAGATGCTGGGAAGCTGTGACTGAGTGTCAAATGCTGACCAATGCCAGCATATTTCTGGCAGTTTAGATGACTGGCTCTGTGGCTCAGCCCTTGGCTTTATGTCTTGACTCTCAGTGAGGACTGAGACAAAAATGCAGCTGCCACAGGACAAGAGAATCAGTAGTTTAGTAGGCATAATTCCTACAGCTAGAAGTTCAAGGTAGAAATTGACCTGGAAAGATCCTCAGCTGCAGTGAGAGTTTCCAATATACGACACCATCATGGGACCAATAGCTATTAAAGTTAAGATTCATTCACTTAAAGAGATAGTTAGCATTGTTGTGGCAATTGTGCACATGGTAGGTTTTGCATTTGAACTCTACTTGCACCCAGTGGTATATGGTTCAAGGAACCACTGCATGAAGTAGGGCTTTCTCAGTGGTGTCACCCTAGTTACGGAACTCCTGTCCAGTTGAGATCAAATGGTCTCCCACACTATCTTGACTGAGGCAGCAGCTTAGAAATTTACTCTCATTGGGGCACTGGAGCAGTGGAGCATAATTACAGTGCCTCTGTTGATATGATTTGTGTTATAATATCCATTATAGCGTATTGGATATTGCAAGGTATTCTGAACTGAGGTTTTAAAATGATGGTTTTAATGTCGTCATTTTATGATTGTTGGCTATGTGGGAGGAAGGACAGAACATAAGAAATAATGTAATAATTACTTCCTCCTTTCCACCTTCCTTTTCTATCACAAAGGGACTCGTATCACCCCCCCCCCCGTAGTTATGCAAGGTGGGTGTTATTTAAATCACTGAATATGAACACACATTTCACCCAGTGTTAAGAATAAGCTGCTGCATCTTTCATTCAGATGTTTAGGCAAAAACAAACATGGACTTTACATGTTCATTGTAAAATATTTAGCTTAAAAATAAACAAACCTACAGCAATAATCTCAAAGGAGTGCCCGGTGCGCTTAATGATGAATTAGGGTGCAGTTTTGGGCAAACAATTATGAAGGAGTTCTGATTTCCTCCCATTTGGATGATTGTTTCCATGTCCCAGATTCTACATTGAAACTTTCCCAGCCTGAGGCTTTTATAATGTAGCAGTAATTCCAGAAATTGCTGTGAATCATAGTTTGGGTGAAAGAGGCAGGTATTCATAGCCGTTATGACTACCTGTGTAGGAGGTGTGAGCTTTTGGCTTTTTCTGTCTATTCCTGTTCTCCGGGATAGAACTATTATTTGATGTTTCGTATTTAATACCAAAGGGATTTGTTAAGCTCATAATCTGTCCCCCTGAAGAATGCAAATTTAGATCAACCGAAGGTGTGGCATAGGAGTGACATGGGGACGCCACCATGTGTTTAGCACCCCCAAAAATGCACCTGCTTGCAGTATTAAATGCATGTGGACATGCAGTGTGGACATGCTCTTAGTTACAAATGGATCGTCCCCCACCCTAAAGGGCCAGAGGAACCAAATAATGTAGTATATTTCAGGAACATGTTGCTTCAGAAAGCAAAACTGGCTAACATTGTTCCTGCCACATCTTGCCTCAGCTGAAGTTTCTGAATACCTTTCAAGGGCAGCCTCGTGTGGAGCACATTGCAGGCATCTCATCTAGAATAGATGTGATCAAAACATGTGTGACAATATCAATCTGATTTCTCCAGGAAAGGGCACAGCTGGCACACTGGTCAAAGCTGTGCAAACACACAGCTGCCACCTCACAATCTCATGGCAAAGTTGGGTTCCAAGAGTATCCCAAACTGCAAACCTTGTCATTGAAGGGCAGTGCATCCCCATCAGGTACTAAGCTTTCCTACTGACCAACAGCACCTCTATCTGTCTGTTTGTTAGCCCATGATTGCACATTTGATGTAATGTGCACTTTGGCCCTCAGGGGATACGAATCCCAGATTGATTGCTTTTAAGGGAAAATGGATATTTCCATTTGATTCATGGCTTTTAAAAACTGCTGTTGAGTTGCCTCTTTCAATAACCTCTGATTTTATCTATCCACAGTATGAACTTATTCAGCTCCAAGCAGGCTATGACTGGAAACTGAAGTCAGCAGAAAATGCAATTGAAAAGCTGCAGAGAAATTCAGAGTCTATAGTGGTAAGATTTTCACTAGGCCACCTCTTTCTTTCCAGCTAAGTTCCTGTTCAGGTTGGTCTCAAATTGGCTGTACAGTGGTGCCCCGCAAGACGAATGCCTTGCAAGACGAAAAACTCGCTAGACGAAAGAGTTTTCCGTTTTTTGAGTCGTTCCGCAAGACGAATTTCCATATGGGCTTGCTTCGCAAGACGAAATGTCTTGCGAGTTCTTGCGAGTTTGTTTCCTTTTTCTTAAAGCCGCTAAGCCGTTAATAGCCGCTAAGCCGTTAATAGCCGCTAAGCTGCTAAGCCGCTAATAGCCGCTAAGCCGCTAATAGCCGTGCTTTGCAAGACGAAAAAACCGCAAGACGAAGAGACTCGCAGAACGGATTAATTTCGTCTTGCGAGGCACCACTGTATTGTACTGTATTAAGAAAGGCATACCCATAGCCCTCTCTTTGTTATAAGTAGGCTGTATCTTCGTAGACTTTGCTAACTGACTGTAACCCCACAAAACAATCTGGACCAGGGCTGGCTCCAGGTTTCGAAAGGACCTGGGCAAAATGTCCTCTGGTGGACCCCTCAGGCATAGCTAGTGGTGTTAGCAACAGCAGCAATTTCTCATTGACGCGGCAGCTAAAAAAGCCAATGCAATTCTGGGCTGCATCAATAGGAGTATAGCATCTAGATCAAGGGAAGTAATAGTGCCACTGTATTCTGCTATGGTCAGACCTCACCTGGAGTACGGTGTCCAGTTCTGGGCACCACAGTTCAAGAAGGACACTGACAAACTGGAACGTGTCCAGAGGAGGGCAACCAAAATGGTCAAAGGCCTGGAAACGATGCCTTATGAGGAACGGCTAAGGGAGCTGGGCATGTTTAGCCTGGAGAAGAGGAGGTTAAGGGGTGATATGATAGCCATGTTCAAATATATAAAAGGATGTCACATAGAGGAGGGAGAAAGGTTGTTTTCTGCTGCTCCAGAGAAGCGGACACGGAGCAATGGATCCAAACTACAAGAAAGAAGATTCCACCTAAACATTAGGAAGAACTTCCTGACAGTAAGAGCTGTTTGACAGTGGAATTTGCTGCCAAGGAGTGTGGTGGAGTCTCCTTCTTTGGAGGTCTTTAAGCAGAGGCTTGACAACCATATGTCAGGAGTGCTCTGATGGTGTTTCCTGCTTGGCAGGGGGTTGGACTCGATGGCCCTTATGGTCTCTTCCAACTCTATGATTCTATGATTCTATGATTCATAATGTCCTGGAGCAACCTGGTGCCCTACGGATGTTGTTGGACACCAACTCCCATCTCAGCATGGCCAATGGTCAGGGAGGATTGGAATTGGAGCCCAAAACATTTGGAGGGCACTGGCTTCGGGAAGGATGCCCTGGAGCATCTGATGTCGTAACTCTCTGGGAAATCCAAATGATGGCTTGCAGATGTAGCTTCATGATGTGAAGGACCATGGTAGTGGCCCTAGGATGCTGAGTGCTGATGATGACCATTGTCATCATGGAAAAACAGGGACTAAAGTTTGTGGTTTAGCATTTTAATCATTTTGATCTCTCTCATTCCCCCTTTTATGCTCATCTTGTTCTTTGATTCTTCTCAAATCTGTGACCGTAGGATCAGTGTTCCTATGGACCCAAAACACTTCTTACCTTGTCTGGATTGTTACTCACATGTGCCAACTTTGATGGCCAATGTGGAAGAGGAGTGGCAGGCTCAATCTGCTGTGGAAACAAAAGCTTGATGATATCATCCAGCAGATGAGTAACATTTCTACGTGGCTGGGAGGTTCCCACAGGGTTGGTCCTCCTTAAAACAATAGAGGAGTGACTAATGCAATTCATTTTCACTTATTGGAAAGCTTCTTAAACTGCGTAACCCTTCTGCCAGCCTGGTAGTTGCCTGAGGAATGTAAAATATTCTGTGGGTTGCTCCTCCGGCTTGAAGGTTTATCTCGGTGGTTGGGAACTTACAGCCCTTCAGATGTTTTTGGACTCCAGTTACCATCATCCATAATCATTGATCATGTTGGCAGGGGATGATGGGAGTTAGAGTCCAACACCATCTGAAAATCTGTATGTTTGCCATCCGTGATGTAGATGATCCTGTCTCCATGTTGACCAGGTATGGCACACTCCCAGTGCTGATTGGTTGAATGACAGCTGTTGACAGACTGGTCTTGTCAGGAGTTGGCTGTCTACTAGAGGAAGGGGATATTCTATGTCTCTGTTGCTCATTTATTTTCACAGTGCCTTCTGTTTTCTCTCCTTCAACAGCTTTTTTTCTTTCTTTTGCCCTCACATCTCATATTAATATGGGCACATTTATCAATCAATTTATTATATTTTTATCCCACCTTTGCTCCAAAGAGCTCAAGGTGGCATACATGGTTCTCTTTCCCTTTCTTATTTTATGTTTGCAATAACGCTCTAAGGTAGGTTAGGATGAGAGACAGTGACTGGCCCAAGACCCAAGGCCACTCAGTGACATTCTTAGCTGAATGGAGATTTGATTGCTGAACTTCCAGGACTTGGGCTGACACTTTAACCACCACACCACACTGGACCTCTAACCACTGCACTATGTTACTTTTCCAATAACAAAGATGGTGATTTCCTCCCCCTGCAGAGTTCCGTATCTGAAGTGAAAACCTTGGTGGAAGAGAAGTTTGAGGAGCTGCTCCAAGCAGTGAAGAAGACTCAGTCTGTTGTGCTAGCTTTCCTAGAGGAGAAGGAGCGTGGTGCCGTTAATCATGCTAATGGGATAAAGATCCATCTTGAGAACAAGCGGGTGGTGATGGAGGAATGCAAGAGCAGGCTGGAGAAGATGGCCACACACACGAATGACATCATCTTTCTGAAGGTACCTTAAGTGGCAAAGAGGCAAACGGTCAATTGGTGTTGCTGACTTAACATGGTCAAATGTTTGGGTTAAGGAAATGCTAATGAAATGCAACCCTTGCTGTCTCATTGCATTTCTTTCTGTAAGCTGTGCGTGCTCCTGTGTGTTTGCGTGATCTGAGATGCTCAACCAGGCCTGTGGCCCCTCTAGTCGAGCATCCTGTTCTCGCAGTGGCCAACCAGATGCCTCTGGGAAGCCCACAAGCAGGACCCAAGTGCAAAGGACCCCTCCCCCACTTGTGATTCCCAGCATGTGATATACAGAGACATACTAGGTTTGACAGAGGAGGTAGAATATTGACATTCGGTGGCAAGTGACCATGGATAGCTGTATCCTCCACGAAATTGCCCTGTCCTCTTTTAAAGCAATCCAAGTTGGTGGCCATCACTGTCTCCTGTGTGAGCAAGTTCCATCGTTATACTATGCGTTGTGTACGTGTTTGTGAGACCAGCTGCTGCTACATGGGCAGCTAATGTGTGCATTTGAGTGAGCAGAAGCTGCTAGTGAGAGAAGCTGCTCCTATGCATGTACTTCATTTCTGCAGCCTTCAGCCTCTTGGCTCAAACTCCTCCAGTACCATGAGATTGGGGAGCTGTCTGACTTTCCAGAAGCAGCAGGAGCAAGCCTGAGACCAGGAGGCCTGAGTCAGCCAGGGAGCTGTCCAGCCAAAGAGCCAAGGATGAAACTGCTGCCCTAGCAGCCATCAGACAATGACTGAGTAGTTTTGTGGATGGTTCTGATGCCCAGCTCCTTCCTGGAGTACCCGCAGGGACCCTGATCTGGAGCAGTTGTTGCTTCCTGCTCCCCCTCCCAAGCAGGGTTGGGAGATGAGATGGATCTTGGCCTGCCAAACAGGGGCTATATCTCTGGACCTGGGATTTGGCCACTTTGAGTTGATTTGGAAAAGAAAAGTGGAGGTAAATATTAATAGCAATGATGGTCAAGAAACAGGAAGGTTATTAGGCTGCAATAACTTGAACCAATCATGTGCATGATGTGTGCCTCCTTTTCTGTAGCTGCCACAGAAGAGCAGTTAGTTGCAGGGAGTGAGGCCAGGCTAAGCAGTGCATATCCCTCTTTTGTAGCATCTTCCTGTTTAGCACATTGTAAGGGAAGGATAAGCCCAGCCCAGCCCAGCTGCGACTCCCCTGAAAAGGGGGGCTTACGTGTTTGTGAGATACCAAATAACAACTCCTATAGTTGTTTTAAAAATATTAGTTGTTCTGTGAGGTTTGTGTTTGGGAGAGAGGTGGGGGCAGGGAATCAAACACCCAGAGTGGAAATGGTTAAGCCTTGGCTTCTCACCTGTGTCTGGCCCCCCACAAAACAGCCCTTGCACTGCAACTAGGCTTTTAAAACAACTTCCATTGCCACCAATGGATGCAGGGTTTGTTTGGTTTTGCCTAATTGCTGTGTGGGGAGGTAGCATTGAGGTTGGGCGATTATATGTTGGTTGGAGAGGCCCTACCGGTATTTATGTATGTATGTGGGTATTTATTAACAGGAATACTGTGAATTCAAGAAGAGCGAAGGAGACGACACATTGCCCAGTGTCTACATTGGTCTAAAAGACAAATTGTCAGGGATCCGAAGGGTGGTCACAGAGTCCACGGAACATATTTTACAACTTTTACAAACTTCCTATAAGGATAAGTTGCAGGAGTTTGCTAAAGATGGTGAGTGCCTATCTACCAACCCTCTCATTCAGTCCAGTGACCACTTCCTCTGTTGTTCCTGCAACTAAGCTGTTATGTTACTTTTCTTTTTGCAGAGGACGCTGGCATCAAAACAATGGTGTCCGCCATGATCCCATTCAAGCACCGCATAACGGCCCCAGAACCTAAAAGCAGGAGTGACTTCTTGAAATGTAAGGCATAATTATATACATGACTGTATCTTTCAGATGAATAGACTCTTAAGAGCAAGCCTGTTGGTTTGTTGAGTTTTGAGGGGAACAGTGAGAGGAAAACAGTGGTTTTAAACTAATACGATATATTTCTTGTTCCTCCAAAGATATTTGCCCATTGACGTTTGACCCGGTTACTGCTCATCGCTATTTGAGGCTCTTGGAAGACAACCACAAAGTCACCAACACCACACCGTGGGAGCACCCGTACCCGGATCACCCAGAGAGATTTCAGCACTGGCGCCAGGTGCTGTCGGGCAAAAGCTTATACATCAGCCGCTACTACTTTGAGGTCGAGATATTTGGGGCTGGCGTTTACATTGGCATGACGAACAAGAGCATTGACCGGAAGGGTTCCGAAAGCAACAGCTGCATCTCAGGGAATGACTTCTCCTGGTGTGTTAAGTGGAATGGGAAGGAGTTCTCTGCTTGGCATAGTGATGTGGAGACACCACTGAAAGTCCAGGGATTCAGCAGGATAGGAGTTTACCTGGATTACCCCAGGGGCACCCTCTCCTTTTACGGCATTGCTTCGGATGTCATGACTCTTTTGCATAAGTTTGAGTGCAAGTTTACTGAACCTCTCTACCCAGCCTTCTGGCTATCCAAGAAGGAGAACAGTGTGCAGATTGTCAAGTTGTGGGATGAGGCTGAGGCCACTCTGGCACCTCTTCCTGCTCACTTGGGAGAAGCAGCTTCTTCCAGTACAGCCTTGGCACCTGAGAGTGAAGCAGAGGCAAGTACAAAGACATCAGAGTCGGGACACAGCCATTGATTAAGTGATGTGATCATGGGCACTCCTTCTTACTACAAGTGTGCCGCTGAATTAATTAAAAGGTAAAGGCAGACATGATGGCCTCTGAGGGGGAAAAAATCAAATATCCGTATTAGGGCAATACTTTTATCTGGCCAACAAACACGTCACAAAACCAGGTGAGCTGAATTGTTCATTGCATGTTTACCTTTTTGGTTGCCTACTGGCCCACTAAATATCTTCTCCAAATTGAGAAACAGCTGGGGGAAAGGGAATCTCCAAGGTCACGCTGTTTACTTTGTAGGGAACTGGCGTTGGCTGCCTCAGTGTTTGCCTGCTCCCTGATGCTCAACTGATACATGTGTAAAGAAGCATTTTTTAACAACATCAACAGCAGCAGCGCTGCAAGTCTCCAGTTCTCTTGTCTTGTGGCCTGGATGAGCAGTTCCACAGCATTAGAGCTGTTCAGTTTCTGAAAACAACTGTTCTTTCTTAGCAAAGGAATTTGTGGGCATTTCTCATTTACTGCATTATCTTGGCAGGTTGAATAAACTTTGGTTTATTATTTATCACATTTTATTATGTTTTGATTCTTTGACTGTTTTGATATGGTATCAGAATTTGTTTTCTGCTTACACTGTCTGGAAAAATCTGTGGTTTGGATTTTCTAAACTAATAACATTACATTGAGTGAAATGTGGCTGGATAACCAAGGACCAGGTGAAATTGTCCCAGGGCCTAGACCTCGTTTGTGGGCCACCTGTTGCCCATTCCTGGCCTATAGCAAAGCAAATCATCATTGATTGATTTATTGATTTTTTAATACTAGATGCTCGCAAAAATCAAATGAGCAGGGCCCCGACCCACAGGTTCACAGTATGTGGCAAGTACAAAGGCTGTTGATTCAGGACAGGGGTCATGCAAACTTGGGTGTGGACCATTTTGGACAAGGCTATCACTGAGTAAACTGCCGATTGCATCTTGACAGTTTTGTTTGCTCGCTAGCCGGTTAAACACCACCTCTAAACTGAGAAACAAAGCAACTAATGGTCAAGGTTTCCCTTTCTTTAAGTGATTTTGTTTTTCTTTAGAATTCCCTTTTTCCCGTGGGAAGTGTGTTACAAAAAGGAAATTTTATTTTATTTTAACTTTGTTAACTTGCGAATTCAGGAATGGAGGAGAAATGGCTGTGATGATAAAACTGCCTTTTCTGCAGTACAGGTGAAGTTCAAACTGCACAGACACAAAAGAAATGTCTCATAGCTGCTCTCTGTACAATTTCTCCTCCTGTACCGGCCATCCTAGCCAGAGAAGGAGTAGTTCAACTAGCTTCTGCTGCTTAAGCAAAGGCTGATGATGTCAAGATTTTAGGACAACCTGTGCCCCATAAACCGCTTTGAACTCCTAAAGTCATGTAGCTTCCAACATCCCCCATTAGGCAAGGGAAAGGCCTACCAATGTAGACTTCTGAGTGTGTGGGCTTTCCTGAGAGCTGTGTGCACAGTTTACCTTTGAAACAGTTTCGAAGCATACGTTTGACCCTCACAGATTTACAGTTCCCAGCAACTCCTAAGCAACTACAGTGCAAAGAAATATTGGAGGGTGAAAGGTGCTATGAATGTCCTTTAAATGTACAATGCTTACAAAGGCAAAGGCGGCTATGCACTCAGGTTTCTAGCTCCCAAGGAATTCTTTGTGGGTAGTCTATTCACATAGGCTTAATCCAGTGCTTTTTTCCTAGAAAAAAAGAGGTACCAGAACTCACCATCATTCTACCATGAACACCTCCCTCATTCTCTTAGAATGGCAATGGTGCCCACCTGAGAGAAGCCAGAACTGCGTTCTGGTGAGTTCTGGCTGAAAAAAGAAAGCCCTGGCTTTATCCCTGTAAACATCCATGGCTAACACAGGGACATGAGGAGCAGGAAAAGCTCATTTTGTGCCAGCTCCCCAGTAATTGTTTGCTTGAAGAGCAATGTGTATAATGTAAAAACTGGGCTCTAGTGCAGTGGTTGTAACAGAGATTCTGTTTGAAATGGCTGTGTTATCTGGATAGAGAAATGTGTTTCTACTGTTCTGGAGAGCTGCGTAATTACTCCAACATTTTGAATATTGTCGGGCATGTTGTTGGCTCCCTTTGATTGTTGTCCTTAAAAAACAAACAAAGCCCAATTAAGTCAAAAGTCTTGGTTTTTACAGTGACTTGATTCCACTGGTATCAGCGTAACCGAAGTCAGATCGTATCAATGCATTCGGGCAAGCTAATTGGCCTGTCTCTGTGTGTGGCTCTCCTCGTGTAACATGCACCCATTTTCCTATAACAAACATTGTAAGATGTGGGTTTGTTTTGGCAGAACGGGAGAGCAAGGATTAGCAGCAGCAAGTGACGGAAGAAAGACATAAAAGAAGCATTGAACGGTTGCTGCTCAGGGTCAGATAAAGGGTAGCCAAAATGTGGGGTTAAAATTAACTTACTCGTTTTATACATCCCCCAATTTGATTTGAAGGCTGGGTAAATAAACACGTTCATAGGACAAGAATTGTTTTCAGGAAAAGTGGAGAGAAGACCAACTTTGGGGAGTCTCTCAAGAAAACTGTTTTGGGAAGGCCCAAGAATGCATTTTCCCCACGAGGGGGCAGTATTGTTGCATAACTGATCTGATGTGCTGGCCGTGAGTCATGTGCTGCGAGTCTGATTTCATGTAAGGTTACCAGAGCAATTTGCACTCAAGTGCTTGGGAAGGCTGTTTTAGATGAATGCAAATCTCTTCACTGTAGGAACCTTAGAATCCTTTGCTGACTGCGATGGGGCCATTTCTGAAGCACTGCCTGGATCTTTGCAGGCAGTAATGGGGGCTAATGGAGTGAATCACAATGTAAACGAGGCAGAGGTGATCAGAAAAGGGCCTAATCATGGGATGGACTTGGATGATGGACTCAAGGGCATCCTGATCAAATTTGCAGATGACACCAAACTGGGAGGGGTGGCTAACACCCCAGAGGACAGGATCACACTTCAAAACGACCTTGACAGATTAGAGAACTGGGCCAAAACAAACAAGATGAATTTTAACAGGGACAAATGTAAAGTATTGCACTTGGGCAAAAAAAATGAGAGGCACAAATACAAGATGGGGACACCTGGCTTGAGAGCAGTACATGTGAAAAGGATCTAGGAGTCTTGGCTGACCACAAACTTGACATGAGCCAACAGTGTGACGCGGCAGCTAAAAAGCCAATGCAATTCTGGGCTGCATCAATAGGAGTATAGCATCTAGATCAAGGGAAGTAATAGTGCCACTGTATTCTGCTCTGGTCAGACCTCACCTGGAGTACTGTGTCCAGTTCTGGGCACCACAGTTCAAGAAGGACACTGACAAACTGGAATGTGTCCAGAGGAGGGCAACCAAAATGGTCAAAGGCCTGGAAACGATGCCTTATGAGGAACGGCTAAGGGAGCTGGGCATGTTTAGCCTGGAGAAGAGGAGGTTAAGGGGTGATATGATAGCCATGTTCAAATATATAAAAGGATGTCACATAGAGGAGGGAGAAAGGTTGTTCTCTTCTGCTCCAGAGAAGCGGACACGGAGCAATGGATCCAAACTACAAGAAAGAAGATTCCACCTAAACATTAGGAAGAACTTCCTGACAGTAAGAGCTGTTTGACAGTGGAATTTGCTGCCAAGGAGTGTGGTGGAGTCTCCTTCTTTGGAGGTCTTTAAGCAGAGGCTTGACAACCATATGTCAGGAGTGCTCTGATGGTGTTTCCTGCTTGGCAGGGGGTTGGACTCGATGGCCCTTGTGGTCTCTTCCAACTCTATGATTCTATGATAAGGCAGGCATAGGCAAACTCAGCCCTCCAGATGTTTTGAGACTACAGTTCCCATCGTTCCTGACCACTGGTCCTGTTAGCTAGGGATGATGGGAGTTGTAGTCCCAAAACATCTGGAGGGCCGAGTTCGCCTATGCCTGGGATAAGGGCTCAGCCTGCTTGTCTTCAAAAGTATGTTTGCGACTGGGAACTTCTGCCAAGGTGCCATGCCTCCAGATGCTCAGCTGTAGCCAGGAGCCTCTTTGCCTAGGATAGGCTGGTTCATAGAGATAGGGGTGACATTTATAGAATCATAGGATTGTAGAGTTGAAAGGTGAATCTGCCAGATTTGCACTTTCTGAAAGAATGCATGAACTGAGACACACTCAGGCGCACTTTTCTGTATTTTGCAATGCAGTTCTTCAGTCAAATGATGTGTAAAAAGGTAAAGGGACCCCTGACCATTAGGTCCAGTCATGGCTGACTCTGGGGTTGCGGCGCTCATCTCGCTTTACTGGCTGAGGGAGCCGGCGTACAGCTTCCGGGTCATGTGGTCAGCATGACTAAGCCGCTTCTGGCGAACCAGAGCAGAGCACGGAAACGCCGTTTACCTTCCCGCTATTTATCTACTTGCATTTTGTTGTGCTTTCAAACTGCTAGGTTGGCAGGACAAATGATGTGTACATAAATGCATATACCATGTGCATATGCATGTGTTGGTTGGGGTGAATGTTATTACTGTGAGTCAGGGTATGCCTTGGCAAGAGGGATACTGAAAGGGAAAGGGATCCCTGACTCTTAAGATGCTTTTAAAATGTGCTACTACGTTTTTGCTGGTGGGGGGGTTGGGGCAGGATTTTATTGCATTGTCTTGCAGTTTTCCAGTTTTGCTGTTTGTTATATATTGTAGCATAACTGCATCTTCTTAACAGTTTAGAGACCATCTTGGGTAGTATGAAAATATATGGAATAAAAAACTGGTGAAAATACAAAACACAAAAATGAACGAGGCAAAAATTGGGACTGTTAGGCAAAATTGCATACAAAATGATGCATATTAGAATAAATCTGCACCGAAAGCTGATGAATTTTCATGAGGGTTTTAACAGCAACAACAAAACGAATTTACAAACCGGTGTGGAAATGTGGGGAGTTGAATGTGAGGAAGAACTGCAAGGGGATAGAGACTCTGTTTGCCATCAGGGGGTGGTTGGTTTCACCTGTGCTCCTCCACCTCCAGCCCGAGGAACCTCCAGGAGGGAGTTGCTGCCACAGGCATTATGTATACGTATATGTATTTTAATGAGCTGAAATATTATGAGTTTTGGGGTTGTGGAGAATGTATGTATGAACTTAAATTTTTGGCTGCTATTTTGTCAATGTTGCTAATATTGTTTTATAAATTTTAAATGGTGTATTGATTTGTGTATCATATAATATGGATTTTCATTTAAATGTGATGTTTAGCTTGTTTTTTAAGCTGTCTTCAGTGGCCTTAGATACCCCTTCCAGTTTGGTGTCATCTGCAAATTTGATGACCATCCTCTCAATACCTTCATTCAAGTTGTTTATAAAGATGTTGAACAACAATGGACCCAGGATAGAACCCTGCGGCACCCCACTTGTCACTTTCCTCCCAAGATGATAAGAAACCATTTGTAAGCACTCTTTGGGTCTGGTCAGTCAACTAGCTATAAATCCACCTAACAGTTATCTAATTCAGCCCACATTTTATCGACTTCTCCACAAGACTATCTGAAATCAAGATACCGGTACATTACATCCACAGCATTCCCCTGATCCACCAAGCTTGTAACACTATCAAAAGAAGAAATGAGATTTGTCTGGCATGACTTGTTTTTGAGAAAAACATGATGGTTCTTAGTAATCACAGCATCCTTTTCTAAGTGCTCATAGACCAACTCTTTTAATTATCTGCTCCAGGATCTTTTCTGGTATCAACATCAAGCTGACTGGTCAATAATTACCTGGGTCTTCTTTCCCTCCCCTTTTTTGAAGATGGGGGGCAGCCTCTAAGAGCCCCTTAGAGACTAGCAGATTTTTTGGTGGCATAAGCATTTGTGAGCATGAACTCACTTCATCTCTTAACTCTTGAAGGTGCTGCAAGACTTGTATACGCTGGTGAACAGGGATCAAACTAGACATGATGTTCATTCCCTGAATGCAGTGAATGTTCTCACCTTAGCAGTCTCAGAGGGGTTGGTTGGTTGGTGGGGAGGGGAAATTTAACTCTTTATGTCCCTGGCAGAAATCAAAACCACATCTCTGAACCTGCTTTTTGCTTTTCAAAAGATGCCTTCATTGGCACCAGCTGGAGTTTGCATTTCAAGGCAATGTTTTGGATAGGAGATTTTTGTCAAGACCCTGGCAGTGCCAGGAAAACTTTAGCAATTTTTCTTCTTTCCTTCCTCATCCCAGCATCCTGAGGCTCCCTTTTGGATGCTAGCCTGGCTCTCCAGGAATCCTCCTTCCTGAGTTTCTGTCCCTTTTCCATTTGATTATTGAGGGCTGGTCTTTTTTTAAAGTGAGTTTTGAAGACACCCCTTAATGCAGAGAAGAGATAAATGGTCAATTTTCTCTGCTTGGCACCTGGACATCTGAAATTTGGGCTTGTGTTGCAGAACTGTGCATCACAGATGGAATGTGGGATTGAATGATGGTGTGTCCTTCTCTTGGTGGCGGCATTAGAACAAAAATACTTGAGGGTGACAAAGGGCAAAGTAGATTATGAGGGAGGCAAGCTTTGTCACATATGGACAAGCTGTTAGGGGAAATGTTCAGAAAGCTTGTTTGGCCACCCAGCGGCTGTAATTCCTGGAATGGCAGTCTGCCAGTTCCACCAATACTGCTTTGCCAATTGCAGTTTAAAGGGGACACACGCCCACCTTTGCTCTCCAATAATGCCAAATAGATATGCAGAGTGCTGAACGCATTTTATTCTGTGGATGTGATTTATTCCCTCTATATATTTAGGGAAGCCATCCTGCAAGAATTGGCATGCAAACAAGCCTGCTTCTAGATCAGATTAATAATTTTGAATTAAGCTGTAAAGCAAATGTCCCCATTACACTTTAAAACCCACTAAAAATTGACACTTTTGGATGGAGTGGGAGAACATTTTGAGCTGAACGCCAGCATCTAAATAGCCTGGAGAGAATACAAGGGAGATCCGGCTTGTGCGGCAATTTTGGATGTCAAAACAAGTTTCCCTACTACCATAAAAAGCTATTTGGACTTCACATTTTTAATTAAAGTTTTAATTATCCCCAGAGTATTTTATTAGCTTTTATGAAGACAGCTGCTTTTTATGCTATAAACCAAAGCTTTGCTCCGCTCCAAAGAGCAACTTGTCCCAGATAGGAGTTTTGTCCTGAATAATTTTCATCATTGGTAAACTGGGTTATTTAATTTAAACTGACATTTACCATCCCAATTTGATTGAAATGGGTTTTTTTTTTATTGCAGAGGCAGCAAATAACCTTGTATGGGGTTTTTGTGCTCTGCATAGATAAGATGTGGGGGATCTTCCCTGGGGGCTAATTTTCCCTGTAGAAGCAAAGGCCTGCTGGACCTGGTGCCCTTTTATGTAGCCTGACCCCACCCACTCAATTTCCATACTGCTGGAAACCATCAGGCTGGGAAAGGCCCCTGGAGAAATCAGTGGCTGCTGTGGAGCTGTTGTTTAGATATGTGATGGTCTAGAGATGTGATCTCTAGATGGTCTCTGACTAGCAAACTTCCTTAAACTGTAGTTGGTTCTTAGCTGAATAATGCCTTTTATGCTACGTCCTTTGGTTCTTGAGAAAGGAGCTCAATGGTAGATCACCTGTCCAGGTTCAACTCCCATCATCTCCAGGTAGGGTAGGGAATGACCTCTGCCTGAAACCCTCGAGAAGCACTTGCCAGCCAGTGTTGTCGATGTTGAGCTAGACATGCCAATGGTCTCACTCCATATAAGGCAGTTTCTCATGTCCCTATGGAGTTGAAAACATGACGGAGGAACTGTGAAAGGTGAAGCACAGGATCTTGTAGAGTAGCCGAGACACCTGAGAGAAGCCTAGTCTTTTAGTTTCCTTGTAGCTCCCTTGCCTATCAGTCCCATCCGTCATGTTTTAGTGCTCTGATTGGCTGGTGCAAAAAGGGAAGAAGAAGGAGCTGAGGAAGAATTACAGAGCCTTCTCTTCCCTTTGCTCCACATAAGTGTCTGGCAAAGGAACTGATGGTTTCTACATTCCCCTGAGATCTCTGCTCCCGATTCTTTCCATCCCATGATCTACAGTGAATGTCCCAGGGCTCTGGTTTCATGATTCGGCCCCCCTCCTTGCAGGTAAGAGAAGTTTTAAAAATTAAAGCTGCAGGTGTTAAAGCAGAACTACATTTTGTGTCAGCACGCTCAGCTAAGCCAGGTCCTCGAGCCCATGTTTATGGAGGGATCAGAATGTGCAGGGGTGTGAGAACTTTTTCAGGGGAGAAGTGATGGGCAGAAAGGTGGTACTTATCTCTTCCCAGACCCACTGCTTAATCCCCCAACCCCCCTCCACCCAGGTCATCTCCCACCCCCCAGCAGATTTGGAAATGGGAAACTGGTAACAAAAACTTGGCTAAATCCAAAAACAGTCAAAAGAATACATCGCCACCCATACACTTTGAAACCCATCCACAGATGGCCATTTCCTGGACCACAGTCCCCTTCCAAGACCACCTCAGGACCTGCTGATCCCAAGCACCACACCTTCCGCCTCTCCCATTGTCCTGGGACATCCCTCCCTCTCCAAGACCCTTCTCTCTCAAAACCTGCTGCTTCCCCCCATGCTCCTGAGCAATGCAGGTCTCATAATCCCACGAGCCACTCAGGGACCCTGGACAGCTCCACTGGTTAGAGTGTGGCGCTGATACTGCCAAGGTTGCAGGTTTGATCCCTATATGGGACAGCTGCATATTCTTGCATTGCAGGGGGTTGGACTGGATGATCCTCAGGGTCCCTTCCAGCTCTATGATTCTATGACCCCTGCCATGCTCCCATCCCATGCAAGAGAAAAGCAGGATGTGGGTGTGCGAAAGGGTTAATCTGCTTTGTCCCTGGAAAAAGCTTCCCGCCTCTGCATTCATCATCTTCAGCAAGCAGCGAGTTAAGAGCCTGGCTTTGCTTCCACGACTGTGTAGTTCCTCCTTGAGTCTTAAGAGGAACCTTTCTCCTTTGAATTAAAGTCTGTAGCATCCAATTAATCTCTCAAGGAGGTAGACTTTTCATGCTCAAAATGGCTTCCACTTTGCATGCTGACATGTGCCAGTAGCATTCCAGGGAGGGTACTAGGCTATAGATGCTATAATTAGGCTTGAACGCTGCTTATGAAATTGCCTCCTGCCCTGTCTTTTCCGCAAGCACGCCCATCAGTACCAAGGAAGTCTATGTACGCCCAATGTGCAGTAACTCCACACAGACAACAAACGCCGATCTGTTTGGGAGAAGGCCATGCTTTGGATCCTGCATTACAGCTGATAAATAATAAAAGTAGACTGGACCTGCCACTGGGGTTTCTGGTGATGGATGGAATGCAGGCAGGCTGAGCGCTTACAGTATGCTGTGCTGAAAACCAGAGATAAGAGGGAATCGGTATTAGATATACAGCTTTGTACAAGCTGCGGAGGAGGCTGGCGACTAGTCTCCTGCACTGCGTCTGCGGCACACTATCAACATCTCAGGACTGACAGTTCTGCCCACCCATCGATGTCAGCCCCGAAATCCATTGGCTTGGAAATGTCATCACTGGCTCCTGGTGCTACTGTCTGGAGCAGGCAGGATGGGAGCTAATGGAAAGAACAAGGGCTGAGGAAAGACCGGTAGGTTGACCACCATGTAGCAAGTTGGGAACCACAAGAGATGGGGAAGGAGGAGAGACTTTCCCTTTCCCCTAACAGCTTGACTTCTTACCTCCTTCCCCATATCTTCTGTATTTGGCTGTGTAGACATGGCCATTTAATAATACTCTGGCTTTGGTGTGCTTCTACTGCTAGTGCTTGAATGCCATGGATTGGCTGGATGTAGAGGAGTGAGGGGGGGAGGCACCAGCTGGGGAACCTCCCAAGGGAACCCCCCTGGAGAAGAAGGCTCAGAGCCAGGGGATTGGAGGTGGGACGACAATGAGTGGTCAGAGGGAGAAGGAGGAGCAGACTGGGAGAACGAGGTGTCAGAAGCTGAAGGGGCAACAGGATTTAGTGAGCAGGAAGAGGCTGTGGCAGAAGGCAGTCCAGACTCAGAGGCAGGAGAGGAGGGGGGCCAGGAGACAGAGATGAGGCAGGCTGCTGAAGAATCCAGGGAGTCTTCACCTCTTGCAGCAACCAGCTCCCCACCCCTTGGGGAGAGGAACATACAGATAAATTAAGATTATTCTTTTTTTTGTAATTGCATTCTGTTATAAAATTGTACAAAAAAGGAGCAGGTCAGGGTATTTTCATACTTTAGAATATGTTTGTTTATAAAGCCAATAGAGCATTTTGTATAAACAGATTTTATTGTACTATATTGAGCTGCGACATAAAACCAAGTTATATGTTCAGAAGTTCCATGTGTCAAGAATTCATAGTAACTGGTTCACATTGCAATAAAGTAACAATGAAAAATTTCAAAAAAAGAAAAGAGGGCAGAGCAACGAGAGACAAGATGGCAACACCACACCCACCTAGTGTACACTTGACGTATGGAGCAGGTCAACATCCGGCTTGGCTAGAAGGGGATTTGCAGGCACCTCTGATTGGCTGCAAAGCTCTATGCAAACCCCAGCACTTTGAAAGGGACTTCTGAAGACCCCTGTATGCAAAAAAGGGTCACCTGATGTCAGGTGATTGACAGGCGGCTCCACCCATTTATCTTGGCTTGGAGGGCGGGGAGAGATTACAAGTGGCCACCAGTCAGATCCCATCCCCTACGGACACACAGACCTGGTTTACACTGACTGGCAATCGCTCTTCAGGGTTTCAGGCAGGTGTTTCTCACAAGCCAGGGATTGAACCTGGGACCTTCTGCAGGCAAAGCAGGTGCTCTTCTACTGAGCTATGGCCCTTCCCAGCAACGAACCACTTTTGAACATTTTCCGTGAATGAATTCAGCTGTACCTAAGTCTGATTTAGGACTTGCAGAAGATGAATGAGCATTCTGGGTCAGGGAGAAAACATGGATGGAAGACTTTTCATGGAATGCTAACTTGTGAGCCCTGCTTTTATCACTTAGGAACATTCCCTGCTTCCATCCCCATAATGCCGACCCCTTTGCGGAAAATGTGTAACGGTAGAGACACCCCAATCTTTGGACTAGCTGCAGTCATTACCTAATCACCACTATTTTCAAGGCACATCATCTCAGCATTTATGTCTGACATTTTCTGTTTAAAGCTGCAGGCCGCGACATCTGGCATCTCGCCACTTACAGAGAATTTGAATAATCCTTTCACCTCCTTTGATGGCATTTCCTTGAAGGTATTTCAACTGCACATTTAATCTCCTTTTAAATAAAAGGAACGAATTACATTTCCCTCAGACTTTTCTCTTCTCTTGCAGGCTGAGCAATATGTCTGCTGCCACCTCTGAATTCTGTGATCCTCCTTGGCTGGGGAGTGGGATACACTTTGGTCCCTACACAGAGTTTCCATGCTTTTAAAAAGCAGAGTTATTATGCTGGACCTGCCAGAAGAATTCCCTTCCGTAGCTTGGAAAGGGAGAGGATGTTTTCTGGGGTAGGGCAGGGATGGAGGACCCTGTAGCTTTCTGGATGCTACAGTGATATCTAGGGAAGAATTCAATGTAGCGCTAAGTTCAAGTCCCTTAGAAATGTACTAGTTGCACTAATGGAATGTCTTGTGCTAGTGGAATGGCTTGAGAAAGAGTCAGCATAGTTCTTGTGGCTGGTTGTGCAACAGATCACAGTAGCCTCAATATTTCCTGTTGTACAACCAATTGCACAACAAGCTTATGCTAGCACAGCTGTTGCAGTGGATCTCATATTGCGCAACCATTATTCTCATCCTTATACCAGCACAACCACCCTTACACTGAGAGCCAGTGTGGTGTAGTGGTTAGAGTATTGCACTATGACCTGGGAGAGCAGGGTTCAAATCCCACTTGGTCATGAAGCTTACTGGGTGACCTTGGGCCAGTCACTCACTCTCGGCATAACCAAAAGTAGGAGGAAGAAGAGAACTATGCATGGTCCTTGGAGGAAAGATGGAATATAAATCTCTCTCTCTCTCTCTCTCACCCACACCCACACCCACACCCACACACCCACACCCACACACCCATACCCACCCTCCCACCCACCCACCCACCCCACTAGCCGTCAGATAATGTTTAATCCAGGCCTCAGACTCCCACCCCTTAAAACTTAAAAAACACAGGACACTAAAAAATACACTGGCTTTTCAATTAACAAAGGTGTTGTTGTTTTTTAAAATGGTGATAAGCCATAGAGTCTGATTAAGAGAATGTGGCTCAAAGGGCAACAACTGTCCTTAGTGACAACCCCTTTTATAATTTTAATGCACTTTAAAAAAATGTGACAGTGTTGTAACCTGCTCTGGGACCCATCTAGTGAAGGAAGGGCTGTAAGTACAAAAAAGAAATTAAATTAAATCCATTCTCTCCTTTGCTACACGTGTTCTTCAGACAGGAGCCAGAACACAGCATTTGGCGTCAGAAGAACTCTGCTGGATGAGAGCAAAGGCCCATCTAATCTAGTATCCTGCTTCCTGCCCTCTCTAACCAGATACCCTAGGAACCTCACAAGCAATATACATATGAAGGCAACAGAGTCCCTCCCCGCTGCTGCTCCCCGGCACCTGATACACTTTACTGCTTCTGAACGTTGGCATCATGGGCTGCAAGCCACAGATAAAAAGGGAGTAGGGGAATCCACAGATTTTGAGATTTTAAGCTATTCCTGAAGCCAGCTTTAAGTTCCAAGGACAACTTGGACACTTTGCCTTCTCTCGGGCGAATGTCACTAGTGCCCTTACCATCTGGCAGCACAGTGCCTGGCACTGCCCTGCTCTGACACCGCAGTCCTTTTAGGCTTTGATTAATAAGGCCACATGTCCAATGTGACATCATAGTTGTGGTGGGGAGTGGGCATGAAGAGGGCTTTCCAGAGCAATGGTCCCTTAGAAAGCGAACAAAGCACACAGGCTTTGTTCCTCGTGATCCTATATGGGCATTCAAATCTGTGACAATGTTCACTTATGGCAACACTACTAAGCTGGCAATAGTCACGCAGTTGTTCCCAGCCAGTTTAGGGTAATGTAGTGAACAGGATGACATCGTGACACTATACAGCCAGTCCCATTTGTCATGTGATGGCATCGCTTAGTACAAACACTGTGTGCATTATTCAGGGTTACTGGCCAAGCTCCCTGAATTTCTAAACACTTTCAAGCAATCGCCAAAAATTGCCAGGAAAGGGGAGGGGAAAGTCTTTCAGTGCTTCTGAAATTGCTGGCAAAAGGCACCCTTTCTTCTGCCTTGGCCCCACTCGTAACCAACTCTCCCCAATAGAAAAAAAGATGACCTCTCAGCTAGAGTCAGTTACCAGACACTCCTGGAGGCACCACCCCATCCATTAGGATAGTGGCAGAGGACAGTTCTGGCCGATGGAGGAGGTGTGTGCAGACAAGAACAGGTATGCTGCCACAGCAATGTCTTCTATTTCTTCCTGGCTCATAACACCCCACACCTCCTGTCACCCAGCTGACTTGTTATGGATGGATAGGGGAGGTCACAGCAGCATCCTTGTTTTTGTACGAGTGGGATATTCAAAAATCTTCCCTCCACACCAGCAGTCAAAGAAACAAAAGGAGCTTGTAGGACATGCCATTAAAAATGTGCGGTATTTGACTTCACACATACTGCTTATGATACACGGTCTGTGTGTGGCTGGGGCAGCCGGGTACCCCTAATTCCCCTTCATTTGATTACCCTCCCCATCCCTTTCCTTTCATCTAAAGTCTTTGCACAGCTACTCTTCACTTCTGTCTGGGAAACAAATAAGCAGCCACTGATGGGTGTGTGTGTGTGTTACAAATATTTACATTCCCTTGGCTTGGCTGATAGGAGGACTTGATGCCAGCATGTCTCACCTAATTAGCAGAGAGCTCCAGGAGCCAGTGAAAGGCTCTTGGACAGCTTTTACACTTCATTAGTAATGTTCACCCCTCCTTCCTCCTTCCTTCCCTCTCTCCCCAGTCCAATCCCTGCAGACATGCGGTCTGTGCAATGGAATATGTCAAAGTAACACATGGCAAGGTGTGTGGGTTACAGCAAGGGACACCAGTCTGGCTCTGACAGAGCAAGAAGCTCACAGACCAGTTCCTGTAGCCACCCAAAGAGATGATCGTTTTCATCCTACTCCGGCAGTAGATATAACCAGGACCAGAAACAAATGTGGCTTTATGCTCAAAAGTTATAAACACACCAGAGCTGGGATTTATAAATATTTGCTTCACATCACGCAAAGGCACCTCTGTCATGTTTCAACAGTGCATGCCACCTCTGTGTTTACTGGTGTTTGGGATCCTTATATTCCAAAGGTTCAAAATTTAGGACATCTTGCAAACCAGAAATGCATGATAGCAAAGAAATTGCTGCTTATGCCTGATGTTGCAAAAGACCAAACAGATCATGATGCTTCCCCAGGGGAATGGCTTTATGAGTGACATAATTATCAATGTACATTAGACTGTGTGACATAGTGGCACACTGAATATTCTACAGTTGCAACTTAAATCTGGTAATTTGGATGGGGCAGAAATTCCGCACATGCCCCCCCAGCACATAGGCTGGGTAAATATTTATCTTTTACAAATCCTGCTCAGCTGCAGCAACGCTGTTTCTCTTGACAGCTGATGCCTTGGCACTGTTTCACCCCAGCTGCTTCTTCTTCGTCTTCCTTACCAGATTAGTCACATGGGTGATTCCACCCAATCAGGCATCATGTGATCACATCACCATGCTATGCAGCTAGTCAGGTCTGGCAACATGATGGCATCACAAAAGGCAAAGGAAGGAAATGGAAAGTTGGGACAATGTAAATCAGTAAATGAACATTTTTGCAACAAGGGCAGAAGCATCGCCAAAAAAACAGAGGTGTTGTTTGCCACTGCCAAAAATGTTTAGAAAAAGTAGTTTCGGCCACCATAGTGTGTTGGTTCTGGTACTTATCACTTCTAGCCCAGAGGATTAGCAGAATCAGTATGGAACTGCTGCCTCCACTTGCAGTTTGGCACCCCATTCTTGCCTGCAGTGACATATGGAAACAACATTTGAAGTCACAATGATTAAGGACCCTGCTTTTACCACCTACCTCTTGGTCAGCGCCAGCATATTATGCCAAGAGCTGCATACTGTGTCAACACCAAGTACAGTCACCTGTTTTAAATTATTTGCTTGTTTAATCTAAAATCCTACTGAAGTTAGGAAACTCATTTCTCCAGTGTTCACATTGCAGGGTCACTCTGAGTCAGTGTTTCATAAAAAAACAAATATTGTTATGCAAGAGGGGCTAGGAAACAGGGAGGGCCACAACAGCAGTCCCATAAACATGACACCGAGAATTTAAATGAAGATCATAGAATTGTAGAGTTGGAAGGGACCATGAGGGTCATCTAGTCCAACTCCCTGCAATGAAGGAATTTTTTTTGCCCAACATAGGGCTCGATTGCATGACTTTGAGATTAAGAATCTCATATTCTACTGACTGAGCTATTGCAGATCACTGGATAACATCACCTTATTAGATAAGCCATTCAATGTAAAGGCAAATACAGGGGCTGCAGAAAAGTTCACTAGGCATCATCAAAGATGTAGAATTAGCTGTGTAGGTGTGAGATACAAAGGGGACTAGATCAACCTTTCAACTACTCTGGACTTATCTGTAATATGAGGCATCCATCCATTTGTGGAACTGTGATGTTGTAAAATAATGGACAATGGCTGAATACAAAGGAGGCACTTGAAATGTGTATAAAAACGTAACCTCAGTGCATAGAGTGAACACACAGGACGCTTCAAAAAT